AAAAAAAATCTGCCTCCCAGCAATTTGCCATGTGGAGCAAACAGCAAGTTTCACTTTCAATTTCTCCCGATGATCAGCTGTTACAGGCTGCAGGGATTGCAATAGCTTATTGATGCCTCCGCAAGTCCCCATTTGCTGCAAAGAGGTAAATGCTTGGAGGCAGAGGCCAAAGAGTTGGGACCGGTGGGTGGGTGGGGCCACATTCAGTGTATAAGACGCACCCAAATTTTCACCCTCTTTTAGGGGGGAAAGGTGCATCTTATACTCCGAAAAATACGGTAATAGATAACATTAAATGTTTCATTAGGCTTTCTAGTTAAGCCAGGAAAATGCCATTTTCTCACTTTTCTGACAAAATGTTACAAACTATTGTTTTGCTCCAGTAAGCAAAGACAGGGATCAAAAATAATAGAGCAGTATTATTAATATAAAAACAAAAGTGCTGTGCTGACTAAGCTAAACATCTGTTTATACTTTAGCATCTTTAAAGTAAAAGTTACAAAATAACTAAGTTTGAATTTAACCAAATTAGTAATAAGTCTAGATACAAAAAAAGAAGGCAAAAAAATTACATAGTTTATAAATAGGTGCTATGTATTCACAATGTACTTATTTACATATATCTAGCTATTCCTCACCTCTAGACAAAATAGCATCACACAAATCTAATAAAGAAAATAAATCTAGAGATTGTTGTCAACAAATCTTGGATTACACTAATGACTAAACAGCCAAAGAAACAGGGATACAAATATTAAGCTGCAATTTAGTAAGTACAAACTATAACTCACTAATGCTTTCCATAAAGTAACGAGAAGCTCTACTGAATGGTCATTGGACAACACATAAGACAGGAATTATGTGCTTTTGATGTCCAAAGGCCCTTATGGTGGTTCATGTCTCTAGCTTGTAAAAACAAGTGTGCTAACATAATCTTTTCAGAGAGAAGAGATGGGGAGAAATTACCATGAAGCATTTTTATATTGTATGTGGTATTTTGCAACAAATTTATTACAAAAGGAAATAAAGTCGCTGGTGGATATTTTGAAATCCGAATTCAGTTTTAAACTATTTGTACATTAGTCTTTTGTCTATGCATCTTGCAGTAGAAGCGGTCTTGCTGTGCTGGCAGCTGCCTTTACATTCTGTAGTAAATGCAAAGCTTCCTGCTTCTCAAGCGCTTACCATATTTGTGGGTGAAATTCTAAGCCGATTATGCCAATAACTGTAGTTAAACACTGAAGGGGAGTTGGTAACTTTGCTGCATAGTAGCCTGTATGTGCTTCTCACTGCAAGTTCCTTTGGAGAAAAGTAAAACCTATTTTCCATCCAACTTGGTGAGATCTGCCATGACTAATCCTTAAATTGCTTTTAAGCAGCATTGTTGTTTGTCTTGGCAAGCCAATTCTATTCACAGGTCTTACAAGGTTAACACTGGCTTCACTGCAACTATGTTACATTGTTTACTTAATAGCTGGTTTTCAAATCCACTGAACTCAAAAAATGATTTCTGAATTGGTTTTAAGGTTGCTTTCTCTATCAGAAATGCTTCTCAATACTTACTCTGCGCTTTTTATGTAGAAAATAAGTTTCTAGGGTTTTTTCCTTTGTTATTCAAGATGGAGACATTAAGTTATTTAAAAAAATAACCAAATACTGATTATTATGATATTAAATAGCTGCATGGCTGTGATTCATGATCACAGGTTTGTGATTTTTTTTACTATTACACTAATTGGCAACAAGGGAACACATTAGTCTAAACATAGTTCATCTGGCAGGGCAAGGATTAATTTCTTGTACTAAAAACACACAATAAAACAGAAGATAAAGCAACATAAAACTTTTTTTTAAAAAAAAGGTGGAAAAAGAAAACAGTCTCAGGCAATGAAAATCAACCAGTGTGGGCTGTTTGTGTAATGCGGCGATGACCATATCTAAACCTAATAGCTACTAGCCTCAATTGAGGCAAACACAAAACATCTTTGTTGTATATATTAAGCAAAGCATTTTAAATACAATATTTGAAAAACCATTGCCAAATATTGGAACACAAAGAACCATTCTTGCTAGGATTCCAGTGAAGTGTGCCCAGTGAATTCTGATGAGAACAATGCCAGATGTCTTCTAGAGGTCTTCTTAGGAAAGGATCGATCACATAATTTTACTTCAATGTTCCCTTCACTGAATGCTTCTCTTCTAGTCTCTTCCAGGGAGACCAACTCTCTTCTACAGGCCCTTTCCTCATGCTGCATCGTTGTGATTTTTAAGTTTTTGTGATGTCTGAATGGAGACAACTTTTCTTTCATAATGCAAAAGCAAAGTGCAGAGAGGAAGTTCTTCTTGAAGTTCTCATTCATAAAGGCGTATACAATGGGATTGCAAATGGAATTAGCAAATCCGATTACCTGCACAATTCCAAATATCATCTTAATAGTGACATCATCATATTCTCTTTCAAAATTACCTACAGAGAAAAATATGAAA